CCTATGTATAAGCTAGGCTAAGTACTAAGTCAAACGAGAAAGACTCTAGTAGGAGACTTTCAACCACATCATATAACGAACAATTTGGCAAGACTCAGTGTAACTGTATGAGCTAAATGTTACATGGATGGAATAAAAGTGAGAATAATTCTAGAATTAAATCCATCATGTAAAGATATGATATGGAATCGTCAGATGACTTAAATGCTTAGAGCATGTGAAGTACATATATAATACCAATCGACATTAATCTAAGTATTAGATTATTAGATTATAGTCAAGAACATCCAAAGAACTTAGATAAGTAGTTGGATGAGTTCTTGACGCATGGAAACAAATATAATTTGAGTTTTGATGTTGCAAGCACAAACCTTAACAAGGATTAGATCCTTAGCAAGGAAGCCATTTATAAGCACGAGGCAAGAAGTGTCGTGGCTTGAGAATGGTAACATGGATGTGCATCCATGTATAATGTGTGGGAATTTAAGGAAAATTTCCATGCTCAACAGCGATAAGGGTATCCCAAATCGTTGTGAGTCGCTTGGAGTGAAACCCAAGCAAGGCATCATCAGGGAGTCTACTAAAATATATGTTGAGAATTGATAAGTGTATAATATACCATATTTTTAGTCCCTAATATTAGTCTTATAATCATTTTCTTTTATTTATTTTAATAAATTAGTCAATTTAATATTTATAGTTCTTATTTTATGTTAGTATTTTATTTTATAGCAATTATTGTAATAACTGATACTTAATAATACTTTGTTTGTTTTTAATAGGAAAGAAAGTGGAGTATGAAGTGGATTTGGCTATTGTAGAGCATCAAAGGAGGACCAAATTGTGTGGTTATCTAATTCACATTCACGTGCTCTTTCATCATCAAATAAAAGAAGCAAAACAAAAAGGAAAAAAAATAAGAAGAAGAAGATAAGGAGTTAGGCGTGAAGTCAGCAGAAGACCCAAATCACAATGAAAAGATAATCATCCAAATCCCATCAATATTGCAATTTTATCTAAATCCTCCGATGAGTAATGCGATGAAGATATCAGATTCACAAGATAGAGTTTTGGCCAAGAAAAATTCGCAAATTCAGTTCATGCAATTGGTTATAAATTCAGCTCGTATTTCTCCAATTAGAAACACACAACTTAACCAGAAAATACACGAGTGAGGTAGTCCGAGTGACTCATAATTGGGCAATTGTAGCAGAGAAGGTAGCCATTGGAGGGAAGCTTAGTCTCGAGTCCAAGGTTGAACGAGAACGACGACAATTCGCGGGGTCGAATTTGGGTCTTGTACGGTTGTTCTTGGGAGTATAGTTCATAAGTCTTCTTACTCAATTGTTCCATTTACTGTTATTTTGGATTGTTTTTGCTAAGATTGATTAATTACTTTTATTGGATTATTGGTGTGATGATTTGATTATTGATTTTATAATCTATTTGCATGGTTTATTTCAATTTACGGCTATTTGAATTTGCTAGGTATTAATTATTAATTTTGCAGTTCAGCTATGATTGTTACCTTTCTATTGTTGGATTGTAAAGTATTGCTATCTATATGGTTGAGCTTAGTTTAAATTGTATAGAAGAGTAGTCCCTAATTTTAAATCGAGTCTGCGATTATGGTTTGGTTTAAGTTAGAGAGCAATTTCAATCTAAATAATCTGACATTTATGTGATCGGATTAGTTAGAACTAATGAGGTCTCCTAGATATTAATGCTGCCAAGACTAATTCATGCAAGTTGCGACCATATTTGTGTTAATTAGATTGGTTTAGAGTCAATTTCGGCTTAGTTCAAAATTGGTTTAAAATAAGGGAAGACAGGGAGTCTTTGTTACTAAAGTCTCTACAGTTAGTCTGGTAATTAAGTTGATTAATTATGCGAGTCCGGTTTATTATAATCACCAATAGTTTAATTTGAGTAAATGTTATTAATGGAGTTGGTTAAGTATGTCATCGATTGTATATAGTAGTTTAAATTCTATATTTTTTCATTATAGTACTAGTTGATTATTATCATACAAACCCCCTCATTCTATGTACATATGTGAATAAATGTATAGTATATAAGTTTCCGTAATATATCTAGTTAAACCTTGATTAAAGAGTTAAAAGTCTCCTCGTGGGATCGACCCTTGCTTACCCTTTTACTAGTTGTTAATATTTTTGAAGGTTAAGTTAGGAAAATAAATATTTAATTTTATACGGTAAACGACACGTATCAAGAATATTGTTGCCTTAAAGGCAATAATAAGGAAAGATGTTAAATGGAAAAGTTCGTTGTTGAACGTTGATGATTGTAGGTTGTCAAGTAGAAGGTCTCGAATCATAAAAATGAGTGGGAGCCATTGCTTGGACAATAAATCCTGAATCACATGTAATCCATTAAAACTCTCAAAATTTTATCATCTTATTATGGAAATGGTGGATAATGAAGATGCTAAGGTTTGCAAAGTAATTATAACTAAACCTATGCAATAAGTGAACGACAACATTCATAATTGCATGAAAGAAATCAAGCATATCAAATCTGGGTGTGATTTCTATGAATGTTTTATGAAGAGTATTACTCTTTAAACATTTGGGAAAAACCATTTATCATAAGATGAAACATTGTGAAGTTTCATAGTGGAATAAAATATTTCTAAATATTCCACAAAACTATTTAATTGTGGTTTAGAATTAAATAATGAGTCCATTCGATTTTAATAAATATTCAAAATAGGGTATCAAGTCAATGGCTTGGATAAAGAAACACCTATTAAGTGAACATTGAATATTTTAATCGAAAATTATCTCTAATCAAGATCATATTTTGTGGACGGTTGATGACCATCAGAGATTAGTGTGTAGTATGATTTATAGCACCGTTTCTTGTGCTATGAGGATATAAATCATTTGCACAGGTATTGGTTTAGAACCATACTGGATCGACCTATGAGGATACTTTAAGAGATTTAAAAATCGTCATAAGTATTTTCTCATTATTACTATCGGAACTCTTTTCCTTTGACCATGAGTAGTGGGAGATCTCTTGTTTGAGTACTGGTCCGCTTTGGTATCCGCCAAACGTCTGCCGTAACTGGGGATTATAAAGACAGATATTGGGCGGGTGAGTTCTCTTAGTAAGAGAAGCTACATTAAAAGACTGGAAATATCCCCCTACTAACAATAGGGAACATATCTTGTTGTTTACAAGGCCTCTCGAAGAGCGAGACTGTGAAAAATGCATGGTCGTGCTCAGATGGATTTTAGAAATCATCTGCTTATTAACAGTCAAACTCGGATTTCAAGAAACACTTCTGGACGTAACAGAGATGACTAGTAATCTTACTCTGTAATTCATGAAGAGACATGAAGAGACATAGGATGAGGGCTATTCTGATTGAAAGGAATAGTGTCCTTCGAACAAGTGTATTATTCTGATAGCGGGTTCAGAATTATTAGAAAGCTAATATATTCAGTAAGGTCAAGTGATCGGAATGCCTGGGTGGAGGCCGCTTCCGATCAGTAATATCAATATAATTAATATTAGAGCTTAATCTTGACTGAACCCTTCGGGTCACACCCAAGCAAATATATGCGAACCAACTCGACGAATTAATTCGGAAGAAATTAATTTGTCGCCCGAGTGTTAAATAACTAGACGTCGGTAATTCGAGCTTAGAGCGTCGAAACCGATCGTCGGAAGTCGAGTCTAAATGATAAAAGACGAGACGCGCAAAATAATAATAAATCAACAATATTCCCGAAAATACCCCTAGCATCGGAGTGCCCCGAGCATCCGAATGCTAGGGGCAAGACGAGCTGGCGCACCGTGCTGGCAGCCACGGCCAGCCGCGACTAGGCACAGCAGCAGCAGCGCCGCACCGCGCCACAGCAGCAGCTGGTGCGGGCTGGGCTCGAGCCGGGCTCGGGCTTGGCTCGTGACTTGGCTCGGGCCATAGGGCCGTGAATAAGGGGAAGCTTAGATTATGGAGTAAGTGGAGTTGCCATGTGGCACAAGGTGAGGGAGAGAGTGGGGAGCAAGTTTGGTCCCCATCTCCAAGTGGTCCTCACCTACTCTCTCATGTATGCTTGACACTTGTTGATTATTACTAGTTTGCTTAATAATTTTATTTTAGCTTTAAAATAAAATGTGAAAATCTCATTGTCCCACATTGATGGGAGAGATTTTCATACTCCCATCATTCCCTATAAATACCCAACTTGGGGCATTGGAAATGATGCTTGAGTGGGAGTTAAAAAGAGCATTCTATAATTTTGGGAAAACTCTTAAACTCATATAACACTCGGGTTTTGGTCGGACCTCGCTAACCCCCAGGTAGTAGACCTTAAAGTTGTGTTCGCCTTTTTGTGGGTGGATACCGTCGGAGGCGCGACGCTTGACGTGCTCGTAGCTTTCAAGTAAGAGCCCCGGTTTTTGGGCGAAGCTCGCTTCGAGGGTAAGATTCGTTATCTTTTCTTTGTGATTATTTATTTATGCTTTATGATTTTAATTATTGCGAGTGGTTCCTCGGGTAGGGGTTTGTTTCCGCGGTGAGTCGGACTCACCAAACCCCAATAGCTGCTGCGAGCACACTTTACAGGGGCAGGGGTATAAATCTTTTTGCTATAGGCATCAAAATTATCAACATACCTGTGCATACGAGCCAAGAGAATAGCATTTGGGGTATATTTTCCCTCAAACACCTTCAGATTTCTCTCCCCCCATATACACCACATAAGGAAAGCCACACGTTGCCTGAGCTTCACATTCGCATCTTCCCAACTCACCACCATTTCGCACAAATCAGCAGGTCTCCTCTGGATTAGTTCAGCACACCCACTATCCTCCCAGAGCTCCTGAACACGCTGACAATCAAATAAAGCGTGAGAGCTTGATTCCACCGCATCCCCACACCGAGGACAGGCAGTTTCGTCGACCATATGGCGTTCAGCAAGAAGAGCACGAGTTGGAAGAGTTCCCGTACATAAACGCCATAGGAAGTGTCAAACTTTAGGAGTTACTTCTAAGCCCCAAATGGTCCTCCAAACACGGTGAAAATCATCCATATTACAACCTTTGCCAAGCATGTAAGCAGTTTTGGTAGAATATAACCCATCATTTGAAAAAGCCCAAGTTAACAAATCCTTAGGCTCCCTCAAACTAAGTGGAATAGTAAGAATACACTTTTGATCCCTCTCATTAAAATGAGCAGAAATCAAGTCCTCATTCCACTCAAAGCGACTAAAATCAATTAAATCACTAACCTGGTTAATACCTTCACAAGGCTTGGATGTAATGAATCTCCCAAGCTCATCCGCAACCCATGGATCCCTCCACACGTTTACCGTCGAACCATTCCCTATGCGCCAAATAACTCCTTCTTTAACCAACGATTTTGAGCTCCATATACTCCTCCATGAGTAACTACCCGCATAGCCAAGAGATGCATCTAGGAAATCGCAATTCGGGTAGTACTTTGCTTTCATGACCTTACTAAGGAGAGAGCCATCCTTGAAAACAAGACGCCACGCTTGCCTACCAAGGAGAGCATCATTAAAGACACTCAAGTCACGAAACCCCATCCCTCCAAGGCATTTAGGAGTACACATTGCTGCCCAACTCCGCCAATGAACCTTTCGTCTCATTCCCTTTTGACCCCAAAAGAACCTAGCCATCGCACTTCCAATCTTCTCAACAACTGAGCATGGAAATTTATAAACTCCCATCAAATATGTCGGAATAGCTTGGATGACTGCCTTTAAAAGTACTTCCTTCCCAGCACGAGATAAAAGTTTCTCTTTCCATCCCTGGAGCTTTTTCCACATTCTATCCAAAATAGCCGCAAAAATTGCTTTTTTTGAACGACCAACCACCGTAGGAATTCCAAGATACTTCTCATGTCTATCAACCTGTCGCATATTCAGAACACTCATCAATTCATCTCTTTGCCCTTGTCTAACACCTTTGCTAAAAGAAACTTCCGACTTTTCATAATTAATTTTCTGCCCAGATGCTACTTCGTACTTGTTGAGAATATCAACTATGGCTTCGCATTCCCGTCGGTTAGATCTAGCAAAAAGAATACTATCATCTGCAAAAAGAAGATGAGAAACAATCGGCCCATTACGACTAGCTTTTGCTCCATGAAGAACGACGGTTGATGAAGTTCTGGAAATCCGGGTCAGTCGGCTTGTCAGAACAGGCGGTAGGCAGAAAAGGTCCGAAATGTCAGAGCAAGTTCAGGGGTCCGAATGTTCTCGCAAAGTTCTCAAATGTGAAAATGACCGAAGTCAGCACTTCCTTATATAGGCAAAGTGAGAAGGCGAAGGGTCGCTTCCAAATTCAAAATTTGGGCGGGAAAATCTCTCGGCCGTTTGCAAGGTGACACCTGTAGCAGGCCGTCGCCTATCACCGTGCGACACCTGTCACAGGCGACACGTGACCAGTCACGTGCCACCTGTGAGGGGCAAATGATTAGGGGATTTTTATCCTCCAATCACAGTCTGACAAGTGGACCAACCAGGTTCCGCCACGTGTCCTTCACGTAGGCCAATAGGAGCCTGCCACGTGTCAATTACAGACTCGTCCTCTGCGGACCAATCGAGACACGCCACGTGTCCACCCATGCCAAATGGGAAAACCGGCCACCAAGGCCCAATCCTGTTTAGAGGCCCGGTCAGCCCTAGGTTTACCCTAAACCTAGAGAGTGGCACGCTTCTCAAGACTATAAATACTCCTCTTAATCCTCATTAAGAGGAGGGAGAAAAAGAGAGAGAAGAAGAGAGAGAACTCTAATAGCACATGGATTGTACTTTAAACACTCTCACCTAGAGAGACTAAACCACTTTAATTTCCGCATTAATTACTCCTTAATCAGGTACTAACTTGACCGTTGGAGGCGGAGCTCTCAGGAGTCTCCGTTATTTTGCAGGTACAGGCGGCCGGTTCCAGTCTCGGTGTTGTAACTCTCCCGCAGGACATCAGAAAACCCCGAAACATTTTGGCGCCGTCTGTGGGGAGAGTACTTCTGAGATGGCATCCAAGTCTGTACCGACTCCTGAAGAGAGGCGTCCCCTAAACGACCCTCAAGTTCAGTCGGACCATGACACCGAAAGTGAATTTGAAGTGGAAACTCATACAGCTCCAGACGGGACCCTAAGGGCCCGACGTACCCGTCATACCGAAAGGAGGGAACGGGAGCATCTTCAAACAGGAAGCGAGCCAGCAGGCGCACCGCCTGCTCGGCAACAGCCGACTGATGGGTCTGCTCCCATCACAAGGAACGAACTCATGACCTTCATGAGGGACTTCAAGGGAGAGATTCAAGAGTTGATCAACAAAAAGCCGCCTGCTTCAGTCAAAGAGCAGTCGGCCAAAAAACCTTCCACTTCACTGAAGAGGAAGCCAGTTCAAGGGCGAGAGGCAACTCCTCATCCTAAATTCAAGAAGAGGGAGTCACCTGCTCTTGATTTCACAAAATTCCGTTATCCTACGGGAAATAGGAAACCTGTTCGTCACATTCAGGCGGACGGGTCGAAGAAAACATACACAGACGCTCGTCTGCTGTTAGAACAGAAGAAGAGTGACCGACTGTCAGAGTCGGCCTCTACTTCAAATTTTCAAGAAAGTTTACAAAATACCTCGATGAGGCATATCCAGTCGTATCATGAGAGTCAGTCAGGCGGCACCTCCCGTCAGTCAGGCTTTCATAGCGACCAGGCGGTACCAAACCCACCGTTTGTACCGCAACAACAGTATTTTATGCAGCCACCTCCATTTGGTGGACCTGCAGCAAAAAACGTCCAACCTATGGACTGGCAGCTACGGTTGCTTAGACTTGGTGAACAGCCGTCGGCCTTCTCCAAGGAAATTACTGAAGCCGCTCAGCCGGCCAAAGTAAAAAATGTACTAGTAGGCGCCTATGACGGCACTACTAACCCAGAAGACCATCTGATGGCATTCACCAACCTGATGTACCTTCAAGGGTTGGATGATCCCACTTGGTGCAAGTGTTTCCCAGCGACTCTCAAGGGAATCGCACAGCAATGGTTCGGCAACCTGCCGACTGGTTGTGTAAACAGCTTCAGGACGCTTGCTTACTTATTTGCCTCCAACTTCGCCATGAACATCCCTGCGAAGAAAACGACCCTTGATTTGGGAACAATTCAGCAGGGCGAGAAGGAGGGGCTTCGTTCTTACATCAGGCGGTTCAACCTGATGAGAATACAGATTCAAGGGTTACCGGATGAGGTAGCTTATACTGACTTTTTTAGAGGTCTCAAAGACGGGTCTACCTTCAAATTTGACTTAGTTCGAAAAAGGGTGGCGACTCTTCAAGAGGCCTTGATTGAAGCAGAAGCCTATATACAGGCGACTGATCTGTGTACAATAAAACAGTCGGACGGGAAAAGGTTCGACAAAAGAGAAGGACGACAGAAACAGTCGTCTAACAAAGAGGAGAAAAGAAAAGAGGTCTGGGCGGCCGATTCCTCTAAACAGCCGGCCCAGAAGAAGAAAAAAGAATTCAAACCATACTCCCCAAAGTATGTGTTTAACAAGGACAACCAGTTTATCCTAAAAGAAATAAAGGGACGGTTCTCAATTGAGAAGCCGGTCCCCATGAAGGGTTCTGCAAACAACCGGAACCAAGACAAAATCTGTGCTTATCATGATGACGTTGGTCATCACACCAATGACTGTATCAGTCTCATGCGGTACCTAGACCGCTTGGCTGAGCAAGGTGATCTTGACACTTATGTCAAGAAATCTACGGGGAACACTTCCTCAAAAAACCAGTCGGCCAAAAAGAATCAACAGGCCGACAGTTCCGATACAGACGATGCAGTCGTCTACACCATTGCAGGCGGCTTCTCAGGAGGCGGCCCCACTATTAGGGGCAACAAAGATAATATAAGGCGGTTAGATGTAAATTCCGTTCACCAAGAACGGCCGTCCAAATATACATTTCCTGAGATTGTCATCACTGAAGAGGATCTAGGAGGGGTAAGGGGGCCGCATGACGACCCTCTCGTTATTGAATGTAAAGTGGCCAACCAGAGAGTTGGCCGAATCCTCATAGATACCGGGAGCTCCTCAGATCTCATCAGCAGCAAATGTCTGTCAAAACTGAAATATCAGACGGACTGCATACATCCGGCCTCTCACCCTTTAATAGGGTTTGGAGGAGGAGTCGTCCACCCACTGGGACGAGTAGATTTACCCATTCGTCTGGGCGAAAAAGGGGAAGGACGACACATGGTAGTCCGGTTCCTAGTAGTAGAGGAACTCTCGGCCTACAACATGATTCTGGGTCGACCAACCCTGAATAATTCCAAGGCTGTTATAATCCCGTCTCTTATGCTGCTTAAGTTTGAGAGGGATAATGGAACAGTCGGCTCCCTAAGGGGAGATCAGAGGATGGCCCGAGAGTGTTATCTCTCGGATGTCAAGCCCACTGTTATGGCCACTGGGTCAAGTGGAGAAAAAACAGACCTTGACAATGTCAAGGAGAGTGCGCCTGTTCAAGAAACAGGCGACAAAAAGAGAAAGGCGTCCCAGACAGAGTCCGCAAGAAAAGCAAGAAAATAGCAATCATTGGCAGAGGAGCGGCCGGTTGAGTTCCGCCCTCAGCCGGCTGGTGAGCATGCGGACCTGATCTTAGACGATTCACGTCCTGACCGAACAGTCAAAGTTGGGACGACTGCTCTGAGAAACCTTGGTGACGACTTTCACAACTTATTGAAAGAATACAAGGACATCTTTGCATTTGAAGTCCATGAGATGCCAGGCATTAGTCCTGATCTGGCAGTACATAAACTCGCTGTGGATCCGAAAAAAGAAGCCGGTACGGCAAAAGAAGCGGAACCATGGCGAAGAAAGAAGTCAGGCGGCAGCCGCCGAAGTTAAAAAATTACTTGATGCAGGGTTCATTCGGCAATGTTACTTCCCAGACTGGGTTGCAAATGTGGTTCTTGTTAAAAAGCCGAATGGTACCTGGCGAATGTGTGTAGACTACACAGACTTGAATAAGGCGTGCCCCAAAGACAGTTACCCTCTGCCTAAAATTGATAGCCTGGTCGACTCAACAGCCGGCCATGCTTTGATGAGCTTTATGGACGCCTACTCTGGTTTCCATCAAATTCCTTTGTGGAAGAAAGATCAGGAGAAGACGGCCTTCGTCACTGATCAGGGGTTATACTGTTACACTGTTATGCCGTTTGGTCTTAAGAATGCCCCGGCTACCTTCCAACGAATGATAAACACAGTGTTCTTTGATCAAATTGGGAGAAATGTTGAGGCATATATTGATGATATGATTGTCAAGACTAAACTTCAGAAAGATCATCTGACGGACCTCCGAGAAACTTTCGCCACACTCAGGCGGCACCATGTCATGCTCAATCCCAAGAAATGTGTATTTGGAGTTGAGTCTGGGAAATTTCTCGGATTCCTTATCAATCAGAGAGGAATAGAGGCGAACCCTGAGAAGGTGCAGGCGGTCATCGACATGCAGTCGCCCCGTACCGTCCGAGAGGTTCAAAAATTAACAGGTTGTCTGGCGGCCTTGGGGAGATTCCTAAGCCGATCAGGCGACAAATGCCTATACTTTTTCCAGGCAATTAAGAAAAAGGCAAGGTTTGAATGGGGGCCGGATGCTGAGGCCGCCTTCCAGAAATTGAAAGTTCACTTGCATTCCTTGCCGAGGCTGGTCAGCCCTTTGCCCAAAGAAGTACTTTACATGTATTTGGCCGTCTCTGATCATGCGTTAAGCGCTGTGCTCCTTGCTGAAAGGGACGGCTGTCAGCTCCCGGTCTACTTTGTCAGTCACGTACTGAAAAATGCCGAGTTGAGGTATCCCCTAGTGGAGAAATTTGGTCTTGCACTCTTCATGGCTGTAAAAAAATTGAAGCCCTACTTTTTGGCACATGTAGTCGTCGTGTATACCGACCAACCAATCAAGCGGCCCCTTACCGTCATGGAGTCGTCAGGACGAATGATCAAATGGGCCATAGAAATTCAGAGCCTCGAAGTTACTTTCGAGCCTAGAAAAGCAGTGAAGGGGCAAGCTTTTGCTGACTTTATTGTAGAGAT